AGAAGCTCTTCCCATGCCTCTTGTGGTTGTCTAGGACACCCTGCTTACAAGACCATCCACAAAGCACCTGGGGACAGCATCGGTCAGGGCAGAGTAACCGCACAGATAAGCCAGAATGGAGCTGGGGGCTCACCCCAGGCTAGATACAGATGTTAGGGGGCCAGGCTAAGGAGGCTACTTGATCATGGTAGAAAGTGGGCTACCCCAGAGCATGTGGAGGGATGCCTTGCCCCTTAGCTTAGTGACCAGCTCAGTGGTTCTCATGCTGTCAGGGAATCAGACCCAACTGGCAGGCTGGTGAGGCAGCCTCTGAGCCCACCCTCAGAGTTCCTAATCGACAGCCTGTGGTGGGGCCCAGAACCTTGCATTCCCCACAGGTCCCAGGTGCTATGCTGCTGCTCATGGAGGACCTGGGTGAGACCGGCTTGCCCTGGTGCATCAACAGCTGGGAGATGGGCAGAAGAAGCAACTCCCATGAGTCATACGCAGAAGGACTGCCAGAGCTGAGGAGCAAAGCCCAGGCCACAGATGGCAAGATTGGGTGCTGTTGAGGAGTAGAGAAAACATCGCTCTCAGGTGGTTACTGAGAAGACAGGCAGGTCAAATAGCGTCCAGTGGATTTGGAATGAGGAGGTTCTAGGTTCATGGAGGTCCCTTGGAGAATTGAAACCAGACTGAGTGAGGTCAAGAAGAGGATGGGAGATGAGGAGGCTGGAAGAACATGCCCTAGTGGCGCATGGCAGGAGGCATTAACCAAGGCAACACACCAGCTTGGCTGGGGAATGCAGGAGGTGGGTAGACACGGATGGGGCCAGGGTGGGAAGGAAGCTCACAGGGCAGAGAGGCTGAGGGCATGGGGCAACCAAGGAGGCAGTGATTGCCCCAGGGTCTAGCTAGAGATGAGTAAAGGAAGGGACTGCAGAATGAATTTCTTTCATTCATTGACTCATGCATTCTCCAGTCTACCGATACTCTTAAGAACCTCATTAGGTGCCAGGCATTGCTGAGGAAATTGGGAATACGCATGTCGATACAACACATGCACAGAAATGACATTCGTTAACAGAATTTACCTTGACAACAGAGCAGGGTACATTAGATGGAATAATTTGCCCTAAAAATTCATGCCTGCTGGGAACCTCAGAGCTGGACCTTATTTGGAAATAGGATCTTTACAGGTGTAATTAGTTTAAAAATCTTGAGATGAAGTCATCCTGGGTTTAGTTAGGGTGGGCTATAAATCCCATGGCTGGTGTCCTTATAAGAAGAGGACATGGAGACACCTGGGAAGAAGTCATGTGAAGCCAGAGGCAGAGACTGGAATGATGTCACCACAAGCTAGGGGCCACCGGGCCACCAGAGCAGGAGGAAACAAGGAATGTCCCCCACTCCCACTCCAGCTCCAAGCCTCCAGGGTAGCAAAGCTCTGCCTACACTTTGATTCAGACTGCCAGTCTAGGGATGGCGAGGCAGTAACTTGCTGCTGTTTTAATCCATGGAGTCTGTGGCCACTTGTCATGGTAGCCCCAGGGACGAAGTCTCAGGTGCTAGAGGGGTGCTAGAGCGGAGTGAGATGTCTTTTGGATGGGTGCTCAGCGAAGCGCCCTCCCAGATAGGGACATGTAAGCAAACACCTGGATGGGAGAGGAAGCCAGCCCCTCCTGGAGGCAGGTGCTGGGAGAGGGAGGAGCCCAGCCACAGCAAGACTGTGCTGGCATGTGTGCAGCCCCAGAGAAGGTCAGAGCGGAGGGGCGCAGGGAGGGAGGAGCCGGGGCAGGTGTGTGGTTGACTGCTGGTGGTGGGGGGTGGGCACACAAGCCAAGGGTGCTGGGAAGCAGGAGGTTTTGACTCTCCAAGGTAGCCTGGAAGCAAAGAGGCGCCTCTGAGGGACTGTTGCCCTTCTCAACCTTTAGTGACACCAGAATCCCATGGGGGGATTGTGACAGTGCATTCTGCTCCGCCCAGAACCAGGAGATTCTGGTTCAGCAGGTCTGCGTGGGACCTGACAATCAGTATTTCTCACAAAATGCAGGTGGGGCCGCTGCTGCCTGTCTACAGTCCCCACTGGGAGGAGGGCTGGTCGAAGTCAACCCCCTTTTCTACGGCAGAGAAACTCTTCTGCCCACTCAACCCTGAAATACCCCACTGTGGCTAGATGGACACCCAGAGATGGACTAAAATTCTGTACTTAGAAATGGGTCCACAGGGATCCAAGGTTCCTACTTCTCTTTTTAAAACATTAGACCCATCCTTTAGCTGAGGCAGATAAACAGAATGAAGTCCTTCCACACCAGGGATGTGACTCAGTCTGGAAAGAGAATGAAGCACCAATATACACTACAGCGTGGAGAGCCTTGAAACATGGTGCTCAGTGGGAGATGCCACACACAAAAGGCCACATTCTGTAAGATTCCTTTTATATGAAATGGGTAAAGTAGATAAATCCATAAAGACAGAAAGTAGATGTGTGGTGGGCTACCAGGGGCTGGGGCAAGGGTGGGGAAATTGGGACTGCTTCATAAGAATGGTCTCTAATTTTAGGGGGGAGGACAATGTTTTGGAATTAGATAGAGGCAGTGGCTGCATAGCCTTGTGAATGTGCTAAATGCCCCTGGATTACTCCCTGCAAAATGGCTAATTTTTTGTCATATACATTTTACCTTAATGAAATAACATTAGACCCAGCAAATCTGAGACGTCATTCCCTGTTGGTAAGGGCTGGCTAGAACCTAGATGTCTCTGCGCAATTCAAGTAGAACATTCCACTCCTGCCTGCCCCAGTCTCTGCTTCTCCTCCCACTCAGGGACCGGCATTGGAGGCCCTGGGTTCAGCATGATCAACAAGAGGGCAGAGAGTGTCTTTTACTCACAGCACCTAGATGGGTACCTTTGGCAGTCTGGATGTTCAGATGTTATTGTCACTCAGTTTTTAGAATCTGACCTGTCCCTTCAATGTCATGACCTGCCCCTCCCTCATGTGCCTGTCACTCCTGCTATACCCACACACCTGCTGCCTACTTGGATCATAGTGTTTCCTCCCTGCTTTCCCCACGACTCCCTGCAATTCCTGGTCATCCTTCAGGACTTCAACATTTCCATGAAGGGTCTCCCAAGCCGAGCTCTCAAGTCATCAGGAGCAGTCAGCTCACTTTCAGCCATTGATTTGCTCCCTCTTAACCGCGCTCCTGGAAGGATAATCTATATCCATTTATTTTTCAATTTCCAGAGTCATAGTTGCTTCCAGTAATTGATGTTCCTGGGGTTCTGGTTATGCCGTCAACATAGCAGCTTTTAACAGTGTTCCCTCAATTTCTCTCTGCAGCTTTTCTTTTCACATTTTAGGTGAGCTGTGTGAGATGGGATGTTTGCACCATCAGATGAATGAAGGGATTTTGCCTACATCCTGCTGCAACACAACTTAACTCTTTAGAAACCAGCCATTTCATACATTACACCAAGATACGCCAGTGTTACTGTACTGTATCTTCAGCAGTTACAACAGGGAGTTTAGGCTTATGGAGAAGATAAACCATGGGAAAAGGACTACTTCTGCCCTCTAAAGGCCATTTGTGGTACTGCCTCCTGCTGTGAGTTGGAAGCTGTAAAGATCCATTTCTTGTTTCATCGTTCCACCTGCTGGTAAATTCATAGAACATCTTTCTCACTAACATCTTAAATCCTTCCTGAAAAGTTGATGTTGTATTCCAAATCGTGCCTTTCATTTTTAAGGTTAGGAAGACCTTTGTGAAGTCACTCCTCGTCCAACAAGTCCTTGCTTCAGGTGTCCTGCCTTTTTTATGAATTCTTTAAGCAACTTATGGTCACAGATCTTGCCTCAAACTTCTCCAACTTCTCTGAGCATAAGAATCAGTTGGTAACTCGTTAAAAGAATATTGCTTGCTCCCATCCGAAACCTACTGAATAAGGGTTGTCTGGAGATGTGTTTTCCAGAAGTTCCCCAGTGAGTTTCTACAATCAAGCCAGGACAAGGCCTGTTCCTCTCATCCCACACGTGAGAGTGTCGGACCTGGGGAGGTGGCTTGGGAAACTTCAGACCTGTCCAACACCCACCCCAACTGAGGTACACACTCTGAAGTATAAACACCAATATGTTTGCTGCATAAATGCAGCTTTTAAAACAAGTCCCTAGAGGCAACCATATTGCCACCACCACTTACATTCCCTTATAAAGAATCTATGAATTATTACCGGACCTAACCAGTTATATAATTTTCCAGTTCGACAATACTGTTCTATTTTACATTATTTACAACAGTTTCAATTGGGTTGGTTTTTCAAATAAGGAAATACACTCCCACTGAGGGCATCTAGCCCAGTACCTCTTAGCAACACGGACCCTGGACCAGCTGCATAACATCGCCTGCCAACTTGTTAGATGCAAAGTGGCACATGCCACCAACGAACCTTGCGGAATCAGAATCTTCAGGGGCAAGGGCACAGCCAAGATGTGCGTTTCCCACTCCTCCAGGTGATTCCGATGCAAGAGATGGCTAGGGACCACTGTTATACATGCTAACACGCACGCTCTCAGCACGCAATTCTGTTGACTTGGAAATTTAAGTGTGTAGGTACACAGCCGCCTGGCATTCTGGCGTTGGAAATGAAGTTGTATTTTCTTTAGAGGCAAAATCTAAATCTCATTTCTCTATTTGATGAGTGAAATAGTTTCTAATTTCAAGGAGCCAACCCAAGATGAAGTTCAGTTGTTTACAGGAGGGTGTTCAAAGTGCACGTGATCCCAGTTTCACTGGTTAGGGCAAGAGTAGTCCATGCCCGGACCTGGCCGCAGGTCCGGGACTGGACACTGCCCAAGGCCTACTGCCGCTGTGCATCAGTACGGCGGGGTTGGGCGGGGCTAGTCCAGCCCTGCCTCCTCGCCGCCCTTTGAAAACCGCCATCTGAGCCGCAGCCTATCAGGGCCAAGCGCGGTCCCCAGCTCGCCTCCACTGGCCCAGCCGTTACCGGGTTCTCACGTGCTTCGATTTACTTCCTGTAGCCCTTGTCCGTCCGCCCTGAAAAAGAGTGCCACGCGTCCTCCCGCGGGCGTAGCGCCCCAACGTCGGCCTTGAGCGCGAGCCCAGGGCTGACGGCAACGGAACGGCGAGCAGCGCGGTGGTGTGGGCGGAGGGCCGGGTCCGTTGGGACCGGCGTCCTGGCGCGAAGTCCCGACGCGGAGGAATCCGCGGGGGTAACTGCTGGACGTGGAGAAGAAGCGTGTTAGTGCGTCGGGAACGACACTGCTGCCGGCCCCGGTGAGGGACGCGGACCGGCTGGCCAGGGCGGTGGGCGGGTGCGGCTTGCGGGCGGGCGGGGTGCTCGCGGGGTCGTCGAGGCGCAGTGCTGAAGGCGCTCGTGTGCATCGGGGGGGCCGGGCGTGAAGTGTGAGGAGCAGAGAGTGAGCGCCGCCTCGATGACCCTCTCAGGACAAGATGACGGGACGAGCCCGAGCGAGAGCCCGCGGACGCGCCCGCGGCCAGGAGACGGCGCAGCACGCGGGCCTGACGGTGAGGGTGCCGCGGGGCGGGAGCCGGCGCCGGGGGAGAGGGGGCGGAGTGCCCTTGCCTGGTCCTTCCCTCGGTAACTTGCATGCCGGTCTTTCTCTGCAATACCGGTAGAGCCAGCACCTCGCGTGCCCGCAGCCCAGACGTCAGCCGCCGCCAGCGGAGGGGGACTTGAGCCGAGGCCGCCACAGAGGAGCGGGGGGAAACGCAGCCCAGGCAGCAGGTGAGGCGGCGGGCGGGCGGCCGCGGGGCGCGCGCTGTACGCCGTTTTAGAACGCCCGCCCTGCGTCGGCAGTGCTCTCTCCCCCAAAGCGGGACCGGCTTAGCATTTGCAGCCGGGCACTTGTAGAACCCGGTCGCCCTGTGCTGATTGGCTCGCCCCGTTTGTCAGATATGCAAAAGTTGCGTGGGGCGCACGCTGTGCCCGCCGATTGCCAGAGCACTGCCTTCTCGCTGCATTGTGCAGAGGTGAATTAGTGGGGCGCCTGGCCTGAGTCTTGATTGGCTCTGGCTTTTGGTTTGGGTGCAGGAGAAAACACCCACGTGCACTCAGGCACTTTCCCAGTAACGCTGGCTGTTAAACTCTGGGGTGGCTGGTAGGTGGGCCCCCGACCAGGGAGAGTTGAGATAAACGGACAGCCAGAAACAGGCGGGGCTTAACTCCATCCTTACATTGAGTCCCCTCGTCCTCCCAATCGATGGCTGCACAGGCGAGCGTGAGGTAGTCAGGAGGTGGCCTACACTGCACCGTCGCAACTGTCGGCGTGAAAAGACGGCCCGGAAGCTTGTTGGAATGATAGGAGAGCCAGTGTGTCTGAGAGCATTGTGGTAAAATGCACGATGGGGACAGGCTGGCGAGGAGGGACGGACAGTGGAAGGGTCATAGGCCCGTGGTGCGTAGGCCTCCGTGAAAGATTTAACTGGAAGTAGATTTTCCTACCTGCTTGCTCACCCTAGGTTAAGTACACGTGTGTGTATTTTCTGTACAGGAAATTTTAAGAAAAGCATCACTTGTTAATAGTGTTTCATTTGAAAACAAAGGGTCTTTTGTCACTTTATCCAGTTACATATTTTACTTCCCTGGTACAAGATATTTTATTTGTAAGCTTGTAAAGTTAAGGTGCCTGATGAGAATTCATGTATGGGTGTTAATCTCTTTAAATTTACAGGATTTTATGCAGTCAAGCACCTGCATAAAATCTTGGTACCTCAATTCTTTTGAAACTTAGAATGTGATATGTTCAGCTGTTGAACAGATACAGTAAAATATCATTGCATAAAAACGTGCAAAAAGATGTGTTGAAGTTTTTTTAAAAACATTTCCTTACTGTAGCCTTAAAATGCAGAGGAAAATATTTAAATCTAATTACTTAAACATTCTCTCTACTGATTATCACTAATTTTTTTTTAGCCACTCATGAATTTAATTCTATGAAATTCAATTCCCCATGTATAAAAAGGCACTATCTACCTTTATAGATAAGGGCCATTGTGAGGATTAAATCACATTTAGGATAACAAATGCAAGGCCCTATTTTACCACTTTTCATCGCTTTTGTAAGGATTTTATCTCAGGTGCCTTTCACAGTAAATGTTCAAGTTACCTATGTTTTAGAAATTAAGATGACAAGTTTTAACAGATTATTACTAATGAGACATTGTTTAGAGCCTTGATTTTCATTCTCTACAGGGAATGTGCATAAATTGACAGACTCTTAAGTAGAACAGACACAAGATCAGATTTGTGGTTTTAGTAACTCATTCTAGCAGCTTCATAGAAAGGGGAATTACAGGCATACATCAGAGATACTGTGGGATTTGGTTCCAGATCACTGCAGTAAAGTAAGTATCACAATAAAGCCAGGCAAATTTTTTGGCTTCCCAGTGCATATAAAAGTTATGTTCACATTACACTATAGTCTACTAAGCGTACAATAGCATTATGTCTAAAAAGCACATACCTCAATTAATAATACTTTATGGCTAAAAAAATGCTAACCATCATCTGAGGTTTCATTAAGCAAGTTGTATTCACTGATCACAACATGTAGAATAATAATGAAAAGGCCTGGAATATTGTGAGAATTACCAAAATGTGAAAGACATGATTGTGAACAAGTGCTGTTGGGAAAATGACACCAATAGATTGCTCAATGCACGTTGCCACAACCTTCAGTTTGTTAAAAGCACGGTATTTACAGAACATGATAAAACGAGGTCTGCCTGTAACTGGCAAGGTATCACTTCTATCCGTTCTGAAATCTGCCATCTTTATGGATTGATAGAGGCTAAATATAATAGCAGTACTGAAAAGGGGGTTCAGACTTCATTGTTTATATTCAGAAACTTGTCAGGTTTTTGCATCCAGAACTGAGTTCTGTTTTAAGACTCAAATTTTTCAGGGAAAATTTCAAATCAAGCCTTTATAAACTGTTACTGCTATTAGGTTGGATTTACTAACCTGTGTTAGTCTAGTTAATCACCCAAGGGCATGGATACTTTAACTTGAAAATCTTTGGGATAAAGTTCATCAAGGAAGACAAATATAAACCCTCAAGTATTTAAAAGACTTGTAAATTGGAGCCCTGAAAGTCATGCAGTACAAGAACCAACATTTTTATCAGCATCTTTAAAGTACTTTACAAATGATGTTTAAAATTCATTACATGCCTGTGAAGTTTACTGTCAGTTTTTCAGGTGAGGAAGTTGAAGCTCACATTAAAATAACTTGTTTCCCAGTTATGTCAGGAACCTATACATTTTGTCTAAGCTTCTGTTACCTCTCAATGAAGTCCAGAAGTCACCAGTTCTGGGCTAGTTCTGGTGTGGTCAGAAGAGAACTGAGCTTTTTGATCTTTTTATTCTTTGGTCCTGAGTCCATGACTTCCGTTTTTAAGATTTATCGTTGGTTCAGAATGTCTTTTTGAGCTCCCTCCTGCCATTACATCCAGATTCCAAGCAAATTGGTAAGGCTGAGAGAGCAAGGATAACATAGAAGCCAGCCATCAACCCTTCTAAGGCACTTTTCATAAGTTTCACCCAGCAGTAGCTTAAATCTCTTAAGCCATCCTTATCTGCAGGGAAGGTGGAAATTCTAGTCTATTAGGTACATTACTCCCAAAATAAAATTTTTTAAAAGAAGAATGAGAGTTGGATAGTCATCTAACAGTCTCTGCTACATAAGATAACTTGCGATTAACTGAAATCTAGAATCCTAGCACTTGGACTACAACATCCATATTCATACTTGGGCCCACATTGTAACATTAATGTGAGATAATTACATATTTTCCATAAATTGAAGGACTTCATGATTTAGAATGATATAAGCACAGCTTTCCAACTAAGCATGAACTGCTAATTAACCTACCCCAATTGGAGATGGGTGTGATGGCCATAGGATATGCACAGCCCCTTGCTTTTATTCTGTTGGTTCTTAAGGGAAGTAATGAGAAAATTACATTTCAGATTTAGATTTTCTAATTCAGGTTATACATTTAAACTATAAATTGCCAATTCCTGTAGCTATTACCTGCATCAAAATAGTTGTAAAAAATACTGGCATCAAGACTCTTCAGTGGTTATCAGATTCAGTTTCCCATTCAGCAAACATGCTTCTAAGTTCTTGAATCACAGTCTAGTTGTCTTGATCTTTTAAAGGTGGGTGTGTATGTCTTGTAAGGGAGCAACTGAGTTTGCTTGCAGCAGCGACAAAAGAGTCTTTATGGAGGAAGGTTTAGCCAAGAAATTCTCTTTGGCCAGCAGATAACCTAAAACATTTTGACGGAATTGTTATACACTATCTTCACCTCAGTAGCCTTTGGTTTTCATATGGTGGTACTGTGGGAATTCATATTGTCATTATTTCATGTTACTTAGATATATAATTATTTTTTTTTCTTTTTTTTAAGAATTCCAGTTGTCTGCTGGGTTTCAGGAGTTATCATTAGCAGAGAGAGGCGGCCGTCGTAGAGACTTTCATGATCTTGGTGTAAATACAAGACAGAACCTAGACCATGTTAAAGAATCAAAAACAGGTAGGTTCATTTTTAAGAATGCTGTTTCACAAGGTTACTTATTAAGTACACAAGACATTGAATTGAAGCATTTTATTTTATACATTTATTTTTATGATGTATTTACTAGGAAGAAAAAGCATATTTGGTCAAGGATCCTGCATGGCATTTCCATTTCAGCTTTGATGAAATAGGTTATAGATGCCTTTAGCTGCACTGAAATGCTGTTTTGTTAAATATTCTTTAGTGTATATCATTTTTTCCTTTTAAAATTGTTTGCCATAAAGAGGTTTGATTGATCTGGTTATAAATTACTGAGTCTGTGGAGGATTTCTGCCTAAATGTATGCTTATAGGAATTTACCTAGGTAGGCTAATAGTCCCCAAAGACAGGTGTCTAAGAACTTTCCTGTTGTGTGCTGCTCTTAGGCTGTTGTTTACACAACTATGTCTGCCTTGTGGTAGGAAAGATCTCAAGGAGGAATAAACCTGATACTTCGTTAATTGACTGTGACTTACTTTTACAGGTTCTTCAGGTATTATAGTAAGGCTAAGCACTAACCATTTACGATTGACATCCCGTCCCCAATGGGCCTTATATCAGTATCACATTGAATATAACCCATTGATGGAGGCCAGAAGACTCCGTTCAGCTCTGCTTTTCCAACATGAAGATATAATTGGAAGGTGTCATGCTTTTGACGGAACAATATTATTTTTACCTAAACGACTACAGCAAAAGGTTATTTCAAATGTTGGGGCAAGGCATGAGGGGGAATGGGAGATTTACACTTCAAATTAAAACTAACCCAAATCTAGAGAAAGTTTACAGAAACTCCAGTGGACTTATGTCTGATATGACTTGTAATAAATCCAAAGAGTATTTTGGCATTACTGCATCATTTTCAGATCCACCAAGTAACTTACTGATTACAGTTAAATTACAGTAGCACTTAACCACTCTTTTCCCATAGCCATACTTTTTGTTTTTGATTTAAAATTTCTCTGTAGTTGTCATTGTTGTCTTAGTAAGTAGGCATTATGTGATTGGATTCAGTTTTCTTTTAACAATTCAAAGTTTGGTTTTCCACCACTCTTGACTTCAGGTTACGGAAGTTTTTAGTCAGACCCGAAATGGAGAGCATGTGAGGATAACAATAACCTTAACAAATGAACTCCCTCCTACATCACCAACCTGTTTGCAGTTCTATAATATTATTTTCAGGAGGTATGTTAGTGTTTTTTAACATTTTATCAAGACACATTTAGAGCATGCAGGGAAGCTGAAATAACCTGTGCAGTGAATACTTGTACACTGACTAACTGGATTTTACAGTGGTTTGTTAGGACCACTGGTCACTCTGATTTGTAACTGCTATAAGGTGTAGCATTCTGATCTAAAAGTCATTTATTTGTTTTAAGCAAGTATTATGTCTTTAACTTCCCTGCTTTTATTAACATTAGGTTTTTCCAAAACTATTTGAGCTTGTGTGAAGAACACACATACTGAGGAGCTTAACATGAACTTTATATTCCTTCTCCCCCACTATATGTACCCATTCAAGAAGTAAGACAGGATTTGGGTCTGTTCAGATTTACTTGTCCCATTGTAGGACACATACTGCATGCTCTATAATTTGCTTTCATTGTGGGTGCTGTGTTTTCCAAATCCAAAAATAGGACACATGTTCTATGAAGATTGCCCTGCCCTGGTGAGAAGCAGTTTGGATAAGGCTGAAGTTTACGTGAGAGTAATGTGACCATTTTGATTTGACCATAAGATATCAGTTACTGATGACAGGGCCTCCTTTTTTACTGGATAACTGTTTTGAATTAGGGTAATTGGTAAATTTATTTTTTTCTAAATGAGGGAATGGCAAATTTTTCCTACAAAGAACAGGATAGTAAACATTTTAGTTTTTACAGGCCATATGGTCTCTGGCTCAACTGTTCAGCTCTGTTGTTGGATCACAAAAGCAGCCATAAGTATGTATAAGTGAAACATGGCTGTGTTCCAATAAAGCTTTATTTGATGGACACTGAAATATGAATTTCATATAATTCATGCATCATTAATCTTTTTATATTTTTTCCAACCTTTAAAAAATGTAAACAACCATTCTTAGCTCCTAGGCCATACAAAATACAGCACATAGACAGGCTTTGGCCTGGCCAAGGGCCATAGTTTGCCAACTGTTGCTCTAAACAACATGCTGTTCTGATTTTAGTGTTAGAAATATTTATTGACACTCATTTCTCTATTCTGACCTTTCAATTTCTAGGCTTTTGAAGATCATGAATTTGCAGCAAATTGGACGGAATTATTATAACCCAAGTGACCCAATCGATATTCCAAATCATAGGTTTGTATGAATTGAAACATTTCTGGTGTTTGTGAGATTGTGGTTTGAACCAGGCTCCTCTGACGTTTCATATTCGTATATGACGCCCTCTAGTGCCGAGAAGGTCTAGTTTCTGGAGCTGCTTAACCCCTGGAGTGACGTGGGGGGTTGCAGGGGAGCAGTGCTGGTGCCTGGGGGTAGGAAAGAGCTGTTTCCTGCTTCCTGGCTGCAGTACCTGTCTCCACTGTCAGAACCAGTGGGCTGAGCACACAGGTGTACGCCTCTGTACTTTGCGTTTGTAGCTGCCATAGGCGGGGCCTCCCTCTGGCTGGGCTGACACCAGGACAGGGACTGCCTGTTTGTGAGCCAGTGCCAGCAGACCAGGCAGAAGGTGCAGCAGGCTGCATATCACAGTGCAGGGCCTCAGAGCTGAGTCGCCTGCCAGGGGAGTCCCCGCCCCTTCAGCCAGCCCTCTGGCTGCTAGGAAGCCTCTCAGACTGCCCACCTTTCCTTTGTCCCAGAGCAGCTGGATGTGGATCCCTATTTTCCACAAACAGCTGGAATCTCAGTCTCTCCAAGTATTCCACCTGTCTTAGCTTTCCAACCCCACTAATCTCCAGAGCACCATGCAATGTAGGTTTGTGCTCCTAAGCAGATCTCCAGGGCTGGGTGTTCAGCAGTCCTAGGCTTTCACCCCCTCCCTGCTCCGTTTCTCTTCCTCCTGCTAGTGAGCTGGAGTGGGGGAAGGGCTTAGGTCCTACTGGATCAAGGCTTTCGTATGTTACCCTGTTGTCCAGGTGTATGCAGTCTGGTGCAGCCTTCTTTCCTGTTGCTCTTTTAGGATTAGTTGTGTTAACTATATTTTCGTATTATATGTGGTTTTGGGAGGAGTTCTGTCTCACCTCTTAAACCACCATCTTTAATCCCTCCTCCTGAAGTGAAACATTTCTGTTCCTCAGGCTTAATCACAGACTTTGAAAGTGATGCTTTAATTTGAAATGATTAAATTTACTTCTGTGGCTGTTAATGGTACCTGTCATATTAAGTGAACATTTAACTTGGCTTGAATAATAAACATCTCAGAATATTTGAATTTTTAAAAATCACATGGTGTTTATTGTCACTGGGGAAGCATAAAGAATTGTCCAACACTAAGTTTGTATGTACTGTAAGGTAACAAAATTTATCTGCTAATGGTAATTGTTTCAGAAGTTATTGTAGTGTATCAAGATTGCAGCCCAAGTGGTTTAAGTTTATGGCAATAACTATATATGCTTTCAATTTAGCTTGGCAACTTTTTCAAGTCTTAGAACAATATAAAGAATAGGTTAATAAAGTTAATATATTTATTACTTTAAAGTGGTATTTATAATATGACATTTCTTATTGAAGATCTTGAAAAGACAGGTTTTTATCTGGACCCATGTAAAACCTAGAAATAAGTAAATTTACTTAAAACTTTTGTGCCTTAGACCTGGTTAATAAATTTGAAAAACAGAAACACAAGTTGATAAATGCAGAAGATATTTACGTATTCATAGCGGTTGCTTCATGGCTTACATTTCTATTTGACAGGTTGGTGATCTGGCCTGGCTTTACCACTTCTATTCTTCAGTATGAAAATAACATCATGCTTTGCACTGATGTCAGTCATAAAGTCCTTCGAAGTGAAACCGTTTTAGATTTCATGTTCAGCTTATACCATCAAACTGAAGAACATAAATTTCAAGAACGAGTTTCTAAAGAACTGATAGGTTTAATTGTTCTTACCAAGTAAGACTGCTTTTTGAAGTGCAAAATAATCAATTTGCAAGCCTTAAGATAATGTGGCTTTTTATGGTCCTGTAATGTTAGAAAGTATGGCTTAAAATCTAGTAGTGGGGAGGGACATTTGTATCAGTTTTCAAGAATGGAGGGTTTGGGAAACAAATTCATTTGAAAAAGACCAATACAACTTTTATCTTTTTTAATTTTTAATGTCCAATAGTAATTTAGTCACTTCCCCATCTATATGCATGGTCTGGGAAATCCTTTTCTGGTTTTTCCATGATACTTTGTTAACTAGATGATTTGAAATTTTACTTTTTAGAGAGTACATACTGTCTAGACTCTCTTCTTAATAATACTTCTACACATTTTAATCAAATACCAATTAATGCCACTGTTCCATAGGTATAATAATAAGACATACAGAGTGGATGATATTGACTGGGACCAGAACCCAAAGAGTACCTTTAAGAAAGCAGACGGCTCTGAAGTCAGCTTCTTGGAGTACTACCAGAAGGCAAGCATCTTATCTTTATAACATAAAGTCTTCAGGCCTTAGGAGGGATTGAAATACTTCAGGAGGGTCTTCTAACACTTGTATATATTGGGCAAGTTGCTTTTAAAACTGTATACAGCTATGTTAATGAGGCAGTCACTCACAACTCACTGTACCACCTTACCAAGTGAAAAGGGCACCATGCCTGTTCCTTTCTGACGTAGAATGAAGGATTGCGTTTGACCTTAAGCATGTGGAGGACAGGTAAGTAGGATTATAGTAGGTGGTAACAATACAAGTTAACAGTTTACCATCTTGTCCCTTATTCAGTAATCCACCCTTTATTTTTTCTAACTTCACGTGGGGTGGGGCAGCATAAGGGTCTGTGAACCCTCATCATCAGTTGTGCTAAATCTGTATGTGGATTGACAAATCCTGACAGGCTTCTTTCATATAGGCTAGGTCAGTGTATTGGGTTATTTTCTAACACCGGTTTGATAAAGATGATTCTAACTTTTGGCAAAGTTATCACTAAATTGAAGAAAACACCAGAGGGAAATAGTACCAAGAAAGAACAACTAACCAGAAGAAAATATTTATATAGGAATGTACACTAGCATTATTTTAGTATTCAGAGATGAACAGATTGGCCCTGCATCCTTAGACAATTACATTGCATTTGTTCTGCTCTGTTAAAAGTGCAGGAAAATTATTTCTAGAAAATGTGTCAATTAAAATCTTAAAACTTGTTTTGAAATGCTGGAACTTTATCTTTTTTCTACTTTTATTAATTT